TTATTAAATTATTTATTTCAATTAGGTTTTGCAGTTTATATTGCAAATAAAACAGACAGAGGTAAAAAAATTTGGCTTGGGACATTTCTGCTTTGGATATTGTTTTATCTGCTGGGTATATGTTCTATTTTAAATAAAAATATAAAAGTATGTAATAAACGTATATATAATACATGTGCGTGCGTGCGTGCGTGTATAGAGAAGGACAGTAATCTAATCTATCCTTTCAGAATATTTCCGCTATTTTTAAATATATAATAATATATAATATATTTATTAAGTTGCTTTGTATTCCATTTTAAAAAATGGAGAAAAAATGATCTTGAAATCTTCGAAGCGCCTGCATAGATAAACCGTTAGTAGTATATTATACCCTCTTAATGCTACACAACTTCAATAAATATATCATATCTTTAAAAACAGCGAAAACATTCTAAGTGAATAGAGTTACTGCTCCACCTTATATATACATGTATAATAGAATAAATACGTACATATAAAATAAAACATTTTCTTTATAATTAATTCTTTTGAATTTAACCTTTTCGCTCCTAACACCGGCTATGTCTGGCATCTAAGAAACGATCCGTATAGACGAATGCTGGCTATTCGCGAACAAATTATTTTATAATGTCCTTTATAATAAGAGTTACGCCAAATCATCTTGTACAGCAATATACAGCCAAACGTAATTTTGTCAAATAATATATATTTAAACATAATTAATAGTATATTGATGTCTATAATGTCACTGAAGGGGATAATTTAAAACGGTTTGCGAAGAAATTATAATCATTTTGTTTTGGGAATAGTTCTTTTTTTTAAAAAACGTATCAAGGTGGCGTTGTTCAGGCGTAAAACATAATTTTAAACGTCTAAGACTATCCATGTATATACTTTTGGTATGGGGTCCCGATCAATGGTGATATTCTGGTGAACCGTTTTCTGAGCGAAAGAGTTAACAAACCTATTTTCATTAAGTATTGTATAATGATAGGGTATTTTCTTTCAAATGTATTCTACAGTTTTGTCCGCTACAATAA